GGAGGCTAGATCTATGTTTTGGATGTGTTAAACCCGACTGAAATCAACTGTATGGACATGGACCTTGGGAGACTCGGTGAGTCGTTCATGGGACTCGAAGAGTCGGGGTATGGTTCCCCAACCCTTTCTGCTTTGATTGAATTGGTTGAGTCTAGAAGAGGACTCAACAAAACATATGTGAAATTAGACCTGGAAATTATGGGACTCGACGAGTTCAAGAACAGAACTCGGCGAGTTCAAGGCAAGTACCAACTGCATGAAGATGTACTCGACGAGTCCATGGCTAAATATGTCTTCTTGCATGAAGAAGGACTCAACGAGTTCAAGGATGAACTCGGCGAGTCAGTTGTTGAAGGTCCTGACTTTGCATGAAATAGAACTCAACGAGTGCGTGCAAGACTCGGCGAGTAGGATCGAGGTCTTAGTGTTTTGAGGATTTGGGGACTCGGCGAGTTGCTGGGTCAACTCGACGAGTCGGGTCAACCGGACGTTGACTTTGACCAAGGTGTTGACCTTGACTTTGGTTTTGACTTGAGTAACCCATGTAAGGGTTAAGAGTATGTAATTGGAAATTAAGGAGGGTTGTTACATGTAGGAATTGAGAGGAGTTGATCCCGACAGCGTGGACAGTTCAGACACTTCACGGCATTGAGGTGAGTTACCTTCCAGTAGAAGTGGGTCTACGGCCACAATGTCGGCCCACTAGTAGGAGTTGGTTGATAGATGATTGTCTTTGTGATAATTATATAGGTTTGCTACTACTGATATGTTTTATGTGTTAGCATGATATGATGTTATGTGATAGTGGTAGTAGGGGGAATAGTCCCCGGTTACCGGTTGGAAGATACCGAAGGGGTCGTTAGAACCCATGCATGCCCAACAGTATGTTTATGTTATGTTATTATGTGGTAGTGGTAGGGGTGAAATAGTCCCCAGTTTACCGGTTGAAAGATATCGAAGGGGAGGTTAGTTACCGGTTACCGGTTGAAAGATACCGAAGGAGAAGTTAGTTCCCAGTTACCGGTTGAAAGATACCAAAGGGGAGCCCAGCTCCCAGTTATGCCAGTCAGATACCGGTTTGAAGATACCGAGGGATAGGCAGTATATGTTTATGGTATGTGGTATGATGAGGGAACGCACTAAGCTTTGTGCTTACGGTTTTCAGTTTTGGTTTCAGGTACCTCTTCGTCGAAGGGGAAGGAGCCGACACTGTAGCAGCGCATCGCACACACATGATTTCCGCATTTTGAGATCCATGGGATTTGTACTCTGACATTATTACTACTTTCTGTTATGGTTTTTGAGACATGTGATTATAGTTTGATGACTTGAAATGATGATGATGTTGTTTTTCAGTAAATGGTTTTATAAGTATTATATTTAAAAATGAAAATTTTTGGTCTTGAAAATCGGGATGTTACAAGTTGGTATCAGAGCCCTGGTTTGAGGGATCCGGACACACCTTCGGGGGTGTCTGAACTCAAATCGAGGGTATGAAATATTTTAACAAGAAATAGTTTTTCTAAAACTTAAAATAAAAGGTTTCGAGAAAGAACAAGGTGTGTGATGCGTGCAACCGACCGAGCTCAAGTAAGTTTTCCCCAAGATACCCATACATGTTATGTTATGTTGTGGTATGATAATGAGAAGTGCATGCTAGATTAGGGCTAAGGATCTAGGAGTGATTCTTTATATGCTTGTTTCCCTTGTATGAGAACTGCATGCTAGATTAGGGCTAAGGATCTAGGGAGATGCCTTATGTGCCTGCTATATGTGCCTATTGAATTATATGCTAGAGCTGATTAATCAGTAATATGATGTCCTGAATAGGATATGCTTGGTATGGTTACTCAATGCTCGAATGCTGCTTGCTTTGTGCTTTTAGGAGTTCTA